ATTTCTGGGCTAAATCCCACTTGCTTGTGGTGTATAATCTCTTTGACTTATTGATGGATTCACTTGTTAGTATTTTGTTGGGGGTTTTTGTGTTTATATTCATAAGAGATATTGGTCTGCAGTTTTCTTTTCTTGCGATGTCCTTGTCTGGGTTTGGTGTCAGGATAAATTTGGCATTAAAGAATAAGTTGGGACGTGTTGCTTTCTTTTATTTATTTATATTTTTTGGAAGAGTTTGTGAAGAATTGGTATTAATCTTTCTTTAAAAGTTTGTTAGAATTCATCAGTAAAGCCATTTGATTCTGGGCTTCTTTTTTTTTGTGGGAAGTTTTTTGATTATTGATTTTCTCTCTATCTGTCTATTCGTATTTTCTATTTTTTCTTGAGTCAGTTTAGGCAGTCTATGTCTTTCTGGGAATTTGTCCATTTCATCTAGGTAATGTAATTTGTTTTATACAGTTGTTCATATTATTCCTTTATAACCCTCTTCTATTTTGTAAGGTTGCTAGTAATATCCCTTCTTTTATTCTTGATTTTAGTAATTTAAGTGTCCACTCTTTTCTTCTTGATCAGTCCTAGGTAAAGGTTTGCCAATTTTGTTGATCTTTTCAAAGATTCACTTTTGGTCTTGCTGATTTTCCCTGTTGTTTTTTATTTTCAATTTCATTCCTTTCCACTCTAATTTTTATGATTTTCTTCCTTCTGTTTCCTTTGGTGTAAGTTTGCTCTTCTTTTTTAATATAGGTATTTACAGCTATACATTTGCCTCTAGGCACTACTTTAGCTATATTCTATGAGCTTTAGTATGTTGTGCTTTCCTTTTTATTGATGTCAAAATATTTTTTTATTTCTCTTATGGTTTATTCTTTGAGTCACTGGTTATTTAGAAGTGTATTGTTTAATTTATCCATATTTGTGAATTTCTCAAATTTCCTTATGTTATTGATTTCTAATTTAACTCCTCTGTGGTCAAAGAACATATTTTATATGACTTCAATCCTTTTACATTTATTGAGGCTTGTTTTACAGTTTAAAATGTGGTCTAGCCCCGCTGGGTATGGCTCAGCAGTTGAGCATTGGCCTAGGATCCAGATGGTGGTTCGATTCCCGGTCAGGGCCCATGCCCAGGCTGCAGGCTCCATCCCCAGTTGGGGGCGTGCAGGAGGCAGCTGATCAATGACTTTCTCATCATTGATGCTTCTAGCTCTCTCTCTCTTTCCCTCTCCCTTCCTCCTTCTGAAATCAACAAAGATATATTAAAAAAAAAAAGTGGTCTATACTGGAGAATGTTCCATATTCACTTGAAAAGAATGCGTATTCTGCTGTTACTAATTGGAATATGTTATAGATGCCTGTTTAGTCTTGTGAATTTATATGCTATTCATTTATTTCATTATTGAAAGAGGGCTACTGGGGTCTCTATTATTGTTAAGCATTCTATTTCTTCCTTTAATTGTCAGTTTTTTGCTACATGTATTTGGGGCTGTTTTAAGGTGAATATAAGTTTATAACTTTTAAAATATTCTTTTATCATTACAAAATGCCCTTATTTGTCTTAAAAATCTATTTTGTCTAATACCAAAATAGCCATTTTAGCTCTTTTTTTGGTTATCATTTGCATGATATATCTTTTCTCAGCATTTTATTTTCAACCCACTGAATTTAAAAATCTAAATCTTGTCTCTTATAGCATATAAGATCATGTTTTTTTAAAAAAAATATAATTAAAATTTAAAAAACTGTGTCAATACACACATAACATAAAATTTATGACATTAAATATTTTAAAATGTACAATTTAGTAGTGTTAAGCATATTTACATTGTAATGTATTCAATCTCCAGAAGTTTTCCATTTTGAAAAATTGAAACTCTGTACCCATTAAACAATAACTCTCCACTCTTCCTCCCCTCAGTCCCTGGCAGCCACAATTCTTTTTGTTTTTATGAGTTTGACTCCACTAGCTACCTCAGTAAGTGGAATAATACGATATTTGTCTTTTTGGAACTGGCTTATTTCACTGAGCATAATGTCCTCAAGGTTCATCCTTGGTCTTTGCCCTTCATTTGCTCACCAGTTCTCTCCCTTTCTCCTTCCTCTCTGCCCTATCTTTCCTATTAACCTGTCAACAAACATTTATTGACCATTTCCTAAGTGCCTGTGGGTCCAGCTCTATCTCCTGCCCTGAGGAGACTATGCTTTGGTGGAGGAGGCACACAACTTTTCAGAGAAGATCACCACAACCAGGTATGGAAAGTGCTGGGACAGAGGGAGATATCTGAGACTGCGGGAGCCAGGGGGAGCCAGGGGGAGCCAGGGGGAGGCAAGGGAGAGCAACAGATGTTCTTGGGGAAAGTGGGGCATCTAGAAGGAGAAAGTATCTTGCTCAATGATCCTAGAAAGATGACCCCGGAATGCAAGAGCAGCGTCAGGCTTCCCCAGCTGAGAAATGGGCCAGTGGGAAGGTGAGAAATTCACTCCATCATGATAGAGATGCACAAACACTGCAGGGCCATGGAGGCATTTTCCAGGCAAAGGCTCCCTGTGGAGCTAGAGAGCACCCATCCCCACAGGCAAACAGGCTCAGCTCTGCAGGGCTGCAGCAGCAGGAAGGCATCTCAGTCAGACACCGTTCCACAGGCAAAAGAGCCTTTCTCCCTGGGACACAGGAAAAGGTCTGGTTTTACAAGGGAAGGTGCCAAAGCCAGGATGTGCATGTGCGTGAAACTATTTAGGCCTGGCCAAAGCTAATCAGAGGGGAACATCTGCTGTGTGTTGTTCACACCATTCTCCGACAGGCAGAGAAGGACACCGTATGGGAAAGGGCAGCAAGGGGGATGAAGTGCTGCCCACCCCTTGCCCAGCGCTGACCTTGGACAAGACACTTTTTCCTTTGAAGCCTCAGTTTCCTTATCTGCAAAACGGGGCTAATAACATATGCTTAACTTGTAGGGTTCTTGGAGGATCACAAGACATGAAGAACTTGAAAGGACTTAGCACACAGGGTCAGGGGCCCAGTGACTCCTTATCTTTCTCTGACTTTGAGATTACTGTAAACTGGAGTCATAATTCTAATAGGTTTTTGAGTAAGTTGAGTAATATACTTTTTCCTAAAAAAAAAAAAGTCACTTTGTATTCTCCATCTCCTTCCAGGATGGATGTAAGGAGCTTACAATAAAAGGCAATAAAACATTTTATGAGGACAGAAACGAGAACTGAGCGATGAAATGCATATTTGCGAGCCTGTGGTGTGTGTGTGTGTGATTACACACAACATCTAGAGTAAAGGAAGCCATGGCAATCAGACATGAAACAGCCTTCAGCTTCTGGAAGTCAAAGCACACAGAGAACCATGACGGCATTTCCCAGGAGTGCACGCCAGCGAGCTTATCTGGGGGGCGTCTATAGAAGGAACTAGATAACGCAAGCATGCAGCACAGCACGGAGGAAGGAAGCCCCCCCAGCGCCTGGGAGAAGAGCCTGGGGCTCAGAGGGAGCCGGCTCGGCTCCCCTGGCCCAAGCAGCTGGGGGGCCTCTTGGTGGTGGACCCCTCTGGAATCACCAGCATGCCCTCCTTGTGAAGCTGTTTAGGGGCTGAGCATGTGTTCATTCATTCATTCATTCACTCTTTGTGCATTTACATTCCTGCTCTGCACTGAAAACTGAAGACTTTGGAGGTGCTTGCGCTAGACTTAAAGGGCAAAGGATACTGAACTTGGGGTAGGAGTTCAGGCAGAGGAGATGACATTCTGGGGAGGGGAGGACAAGAGTACAGGCTCAGAGTGGGAGGGCCTCAGACCCCCATGGTGAGGCTGGAGGTGGGGACACGGTGGAGGAGCAATGAGAGCTGCAGGGGCTGTGGGGTGAAGACCAAGAAGGGGGCACAGGCCTGAGATGTACTCTGGAGAAGACTGACCAGGATTTGGTATGGGAGTGGGCAGGGAGGGACCCAGGGTGATGCCCAGGTGTCTGCACAGGGAAGCGAGTGGCTGGAGGTGTCCACCTGGGGGAGAGCAGGCTAGCGGAGGTGCTGGTTCAGTGGGGCTCGTCCAAACTCTGGACCCAGAAGAGACGACTTGGTGGGAGTCAGGGAGGGGGCACTGTCAGTGTCATGGGGGAGTTGAAGCCAAAGGATTGGGAGAGAAGAGAGAAGAGGGCCAAGAGCAAATTCATTTAAGAGACAAGTGGGGTACTATGGAAGAGGCAAAGAAGAGGGGGGTCAGAGACGCGGGAGGAAACGCAGGCCAGGGCTGCGCTGGGGATACAGGCTGGGGATAGGGGTGGTCAACAGCGAAGGTCAAGCAAGGTGCCGACGGAAAGCATCTGCTCGCACGACCATCAGGAGGTCAGCGGTAACTTTGGCCAAGATGATGTCAGTGGAGTGGCAGTGAAAAGAAACCAGAGGGGCTGGGATGAGTGGAAGGTGAGGCGGAAGAGCCAGGATGGGGTGTGTGGGTGCCTCTGAGGAAGATTCTCTGCGCGTTGGGGTAGGGGATGTGCAGAGCAAGTGCCTTTTGGGTGAAATGAAGATGGCAGCGGGAAGGTGGTGGCGCATGCAGGTGAGTCTGCATGTCTATGGAAGTAAGGTGGAGTCTCCTCCTGGTGACGCTGCCAAGGGAAGGACAGGCCAAGTCTGGTGAAGGAGGGGAACACGCAGGAGAACCACGGGCAGTGGGCTGTAGAACCACCGTCAGTTCCCACAAAGAGAGGAGGCTGTTTGAGTGAGAGACTAGGGACTGAAGTTTCTGAGGTTGATAATGAGATTCGCAGGGTGCCAAGGACATGGACAGGACGGTCACTGGAGCTGGGATGTCAAGAGGCCAAGAAAAGGCGGTACTGGGCACTGTGGCTTCTGAGGGCAGAAGGGAGGGGAAGATCTGGCCCAGGACCAAAGGTCTCAAGTAACGAGGTGCTACGGGGACTAGCGCATCCAGCCGGGTCCCTGGGCAAGGGCAGACTCCTAGGCCTAGGCTTGGGAACAAGGAAAACTTGGGACTCACCGGGATCGCCTCTTCTTCCAGGCTTGCCACGCCGTCCAGGGGGCCCTAGGCAGGGAAACAAGGATAGATTCGTTGAGAAGGGAAGCCAGTGGGTTTGGGCACAGCTTGCCTGCTGCCGGCCCACCCACCCATCCTGGTGGCAGCCTGCCCACCGCCCTGCTGGCTGGCGGAGTGCAGAGGTGCGGGGAGGAAGCCGGCTCCTGCTCCAGCTCGCCCCTGCTCCTCCAGGCCTGCCCCTGTCGGTTGCCTTCTCACCGCTCACTCCTCATTCAGTTATTTAATCATCTGTTCATTTATCCATTCACAATCCCCCCTCAGTCAAAAAGATTTACCATCTGGAAACTCTGGAGGTAAAAGAGTTTGCAACTGAGAAACTTCTGACTGACGAGAAATATAAGGCTGAGGGTGGGAGTTATCTTATGAAAGCCCTGACCAAGGCTTTTTAAAAATAATTTATCTTTATTGCTGAAAGTATTACAGATGTCCTCTCCCCCCCCCATTGACCCCTTATTCCCCTACCCCCCCAACTGACCAATGCTTTTTAATGTCCACTGCAGTAAACCAACAGAGACAACACACCACATAAAGTGCTTATACATTTCTCAGGATTTATTGCAGATAACGCAGATCCTTTTCAGTATCCAGCTCTCCATCCACATGGTTTGAGCCTTTCTGAATTGATGATGGGAACCACCCTGCCTTTGCCTTCTCTCCCTCTGCCCACGAAGGTCCTGGGAGAGAGCTCTGGGTAAGGACACGCTGACCAGCCCACTGCCTCAGTCAGAGGTCCAGGCCCAGCTCATGGCCCGCCTCGCCCTGGGAGTGGAGAGTCACTTCTGGAGCTTGCTGCAAACATCCCCGAAGCCCTCCGACCTTGCGTTTTAACTTTTGTCTGCCTCCAGTTTCATTCCCTCTTG